GGGAAGATCGCAACCTCTTGTCCAAGCTAACCTGACTTTGAATGCAGTCACGCCTGGATGGGAGAGAGAAGTTTAGAGTGAAGCCAGAATTTGAGACAAACGGCGTGGCATGTGCTGTCAGGATGTGTTTGGCCAAGTGGAACTATAAACATAGGGCTTTCGCAGGTGAGTGACTGCAAACTCGCAGTTTCATGAAAAATGGGCACGCAGCTGTGTCGAACTTCACTAGACTTTGTTTACCTGGGTGTCCGAGCAGCTTGCCGTAGCGAGCTTCATCTAGCGCATTAGCAAATGTGTCAGTTAGAATCCGGCATCGTTAATGTGTCCCAAGCGTTTGAAGCAGCGGCGCCCACATGAGAGAATTCCTCAGTACTGTGCACTCCAAATCGAAGCTTGATGCCCAGGTCCTGCAAGGCTTGAAGCTTGCGGGTGCTGTTGGCTTCAGCCAAGGCGGTGGTGTCGCAGCCTTGCTGGAGCACGGGATTACAACGCAGTGGTTCTTGCGTAGACGGCGTAGACTCATGAGGGTGCAGCGAGTGTGCAGTGGTAACCCGTCACATTTGAGCCGCATACCCTTGAGGACTGCCCCTGGATTGTGCTGTGTTCGCCGGTTATCGCTCCGGGCCTGCGAACGAACACTGCAAAATGCCTCCTGACGTATGACCCCGACGAGGAGCAGCTTGGAAGAATCGGTCATAGCCGTCACAGGACTAATGGACTCCAGGCTGCAGCAGGCTGCAGCTCTTGGAATTTTAGCTGGCAAGGCGTTTCCCTTCGGAGCATGGGGAGCATTCATGGTGCTCCTGCGGAGGCAAGTTCTTTGGACGGCCAGGATCGTGTACATGTGGGCCGCTGCAGAAGCACGTGCATGATGTCTGTGTTGGCTCCTAATGCTCCCGCAGCGGTCCCACGGGGCTTCTGTGCCTTGCGTCTGCTCTGAAATCAACAGTCAAATTGCTTTGTGTAGAACACATGCATGTGACTTTGCGATGGTAAAGGTTGGAAATTGGCAAGGCTTCAGGGCATTCTCCTTCAGTGCATGATTGTTGTCATGCTTGGCCTGTACATATTTATTTCACCAATCCCTTTCTTCAACTGATGCCAACCTTTGCAAAGCTTCGCGATCGGATTTTGGCTTCGCTGACATGCCAAGTTGCCGGCTTGGCGCTGTAGCAATCTTCAGCAGGACAGTAACATAGCAGTAAAGAGTAGAATTGACAGGATGTGGGTTCCGCATTTCTCAGAGCAAAGTATTCACGATCCCACCTTTGTGAGAACAAGCGGCTGCAGTGCTCCATGCTTGTTATTGCTTCAGATGTGACAATGACGATCAGGTATGTCGAGCAGTGCAGCCTGGCTGTGAGGATCAGACTGCATGAGTCCTGTTGCTTTGTAACCTTGATCATCCGAGCAAGACTTCTCACACTGTCATCTTGATAAGCCACATGTTAGGACCCACTTAGCCCCACAGGCGCTCATGGTCTTCAGGTCTGGAGGTTGGCGAGAAGTTTGCTAACAAGCAGGTCCACACGCACAGCCAAGGCAAGGATGTCAGCTTACCAACAGCAAGTACCTTTTGTTGGCGTTGTGACGTGGTCTGTGTGTTTCCTTGTGGAGCCTGCTAGGTAGGGGGCCTGCCTGCTTGCTGCTGCTGCTGGTTTTGTTGTTGACGATGGTGGTGGTGGTGGTCTCTTTCGTCTTGGTGGTCTTCTTGTTTTCATCTTGTGGGGGGACATTTCAGGTCAAGGGCATAATCCTCCATTTGCACCATCATCTCATCTATGTTGTGCATTCTCGCTTTCTGGCACAGCGGGAAGGACCCTTGTCCCACCTACTCAGTGCTCATCTTATCATTTTGTTTCACTGGTATGCCATTTCTGGTCTCTGGCAGACTTATGGAATCAAATATTCGCTCACCTTCATGCATGTGTTTGATTGGACTTTTCTTTTTGTTAAAACAAATTTCATTCGTTCAGGACGCCCATCTTTTCCAGTCAGCATGTGTGTTTGTGTGGTTTCTTGATGCTTTTGTAATGGAAGGTGTTGAGCCGGCTCATACTCAGGAGGCCTAAAGCTAATCCTTTTTTGTTAAGTCTATGAATGTCAAGGCCAAACACTCACATCCACTGTATTGAACAGCCCTGGCGCAGGGCACACAGTGCCAAAAGATGCTGATTTCGAGAAGCTCCTCGTAGAACTGGCGGCATCATCTCGGTGAGCCACTTGCCGAAAGGATGGGTATTCAGAATATTCAGAGTAACCTGTGCAGTTGGCCAAGAGTAAACGCTTTGCAGCCGCTGTCAGCTTGAAACCCAGCAAGCACGCCAAGCGCGCTGTCGGAGGTTTCCATTTTGTGGAGGTTTCCTGAAGGCTCATCTTCCAGACGCGTGTACCACGCAAACCGCTTAGGGTATGATTATGATCTTCCTGAGCTGTGTTCAACCGTTCAACCACTCAGATGGCACAGCCCGCTTGATGTCTGCAAGAGCTGGCACAAATAGGCTGCCAGGTTGTTGTAGCCATAAAGGGGTCAAGATTTCAAGAATGGAGGGAGCAAATCGTTTCGTGGTGATCAGACTTGTTTGGTCAAAGACAAGTGGGTGATGAGTGTGTGAATGAGTGAGTGAGTGGTGGCTCACTGCACAAGGTGGTACGTGCAGCAGCCGTGCCTTTGGCGCTTTTCTCTCCTGGCTTCTGTGGGAGCTCAGTAAGCGCCAATGCCACCTCCACTGAGAATTCACTTCTGGCACACGCCCCAACCCCAGAAATAACGTCCTGAGGTCGGCAAGCCCGGTTCGGCAAGACACGGAACCACCACTAGGAAACTAGGCAGGCCTGCCACCAGAAAAGCCAGCAGAAATACAAGACAGCGCGCCATCCTCACGGAGGCCCTCCAAAAAATCCCCCGAAGATCCCTCTTCAAGGTACTAAGCCAGACAACGGCACCACTGCGTCGGGCGGTGCGTAGCCGCGTGCTATGGAAGCAGGCGCACTTCGCCGCAGATCCCTCTACGAATACTACGCACGCGACTCATGCACTCAGTCATTCACCCCCGTTTCTTGTGAAGAGGGTGGATGGCAGGCTCAGGCCATTCTCCTGCAAGCAGGTCCCTGGTCGTGGTGCCCTCGGAGTAGAGGGGTGAAGGCCAGCGAATTCACAAAATTTGAGATCAGCATTTGCTCACTGGCATCAACCCATTCCGTACGGCAATCTGAGCCTCAAGAGTTCGAGAGGTCAAGTACAGACAGCATGCAGCCTGCCGCCATCCAAGGTGCTGCCGCCGACGGTCTCGCACCAGAGTTGGTTCAAGGCAAGGTGCACTGATGACAGATTGAAGGCCAAACCTGAACTGAACGGATCTGACCAGGCCACAAAGAACTGGTGGCAGGCCCTTTTGGATCACAAGAATGGGTTTCGAACCCAACGGTCAATTAGAACTCTTTAAGTTCGGCTTGCTTTATTGAGATTTTGATGCACGATCTTGCAAGCTAGAAGTTTTGAAAGTTTTCCGTCAAGGAACATCATCCAGCGTAATGGCAGAGCGACAGCGCACTGCAAGCAATCCGCTGAACGCGCGGAACACCACAAGAAATATTAGCAAGAACTGAATGATGGCTCAGCTGCTGGATGAGAGGATGTTGTAGGATGCTGTAGGCACCTCTCAGCCTCTCAGGGAGACTGGGTGCCAACTCGCGCATGACTAGCTCAATTGTTTGAAAAGTCCTGTGCGACATGCTTGTCCAACAACCCGGTGTCTGTTCCCTCAAGGATGCCTCATGCAAAACAAAGCAATCTCATGCATTGCAGCAGTTTCATTCACTGAGGGCGTTGTGCTCGGCTCAAGGGAAGAGGCAGCTTGCACTGCTCAAAGGCCTTTGCCTCAGTCATGTGGTTGCTTAGCCGCATCGAAAGGCCTCAGGCAAAAAGCCAATGTGAAAGCGTCTTCTCTTCCGACCGCAGATGTTGAGATAGACCAGCTACTCTCTCTCTCTCTCTCCCTCTCTCAGCTTTGCACCCACCAAGCAGAAGAGCACTCAAAGCAGCAAAACTCAGGATTGACTTTACAGAGGATGGTTAGTTGAGTTGTCCATTCGGGGCTGCAGCTGTCAACTGTCAAACGCAAAGCCGAGGCTGCTCGGGATCTCCAAGCAGGCCCGCGTTTCGCGTAACGTCAGCTACGGCTCATAGAATCTAAAGACTTCTCCTGCGCAGGGTTTGAGCTATACTTTTGTGCTGTGCATTGGAGGACTTGGGAGGCAACACAAGCAACACCTGTTGACAAATGTTGACAACAAAAGTAGCGAGAAGGGGCCAAAGAGTTGCGTGCCACTGCATAGCACTCTTGGCATGCATCACTTGTCTCGATGCCTACTGGAAGGCTACGTGGAGTGCAGGAGCTTGATCAATGATGCAGATTTTCCAGTCAATGAATAAAGCCCACATAGATTTTCTGGTATGCTTGTCCATAAGCTGCATCTCTGACCCGTCAGCTTGAGAGCAGGCGGCTTCGTGCCACCCGTGTAGTTTTTCGAATTTATACATCATATAACATCAGGAGTTTGGGCACCGCGATGCAATCTGAGGTAAGAACCCTGCGCCCTGCGCCGCCATATCACGTGTCTTTCACAAGGGAGCGGCAGCACCACTAGCAAAAGTTTGTGTAGGCAAGCAGCCTAACTCGGCCTAAAAGCTAGAAATACGTGGATAGCAATGGCCATGATAACGATAGCGCGAGCTTTTACCACATGATGGTTGGCCGGCATCTTGCTCCCCCCGACAAATGAACGCTATCAAACTTATTGTTCTGCACACGACGCGTCCAATGCCGCCTCGACGAGGCAAGTCAACTTATCGTGCAGTGAGCTAGCATCATCCTTCATGAATCCTCAATGATATTTCATGATCAAAACGTTCTTGGATCATCTGCTGCGATGGGTGGTCTGCCATTCGTTCAGTCGCTGCTAGGTCGCTTCCGAAGGCCTTGCAGGATCTCAGGAGAATGTCGATGATCCAAATTCCTGTGACGTTGGTCACTCTTGCTGGGGAGAAGCCTTATACCCTGACTTGGCAGACATCTGTTCCTGCCGATGAATACGTGTCTTCTGCGCTTGGAAGCTCTCCAGAAGTGGGGGGAGTACGCTTTAATGTTGCAAAGCCGATGTTGGTGGATGGCAGAGCGACTGCGAAAAATGTGCGGCTCGTGGAGTACAACAGAGAAGGAGTTCAAACGAAGGTATGCACTTGGGGTTGCACAGAGCGAGGATTCTTGGGATATTTAATGTCAACTTTTGCAGTTGTAGTTGCTGATTTGTCTCAAGTACGTGAAACACCTTGGATGCCCCAAGTCAAACTTCAAAATCTGCAGGATATGCCTGTGCCCCGTTTGAATATCTGAAGCTGGAGAGCGTACCTGGCATGCTGCACTACTTGGCATCGCAGGTGCTCACACAGCAGGAGCCAAGGTAGGCTTCCCCTGATCATGATTGCAAACCCTTTGATGTGAGAGTCGTTGGCATTGCTAAGTTCTCATGAAACTTAGGTCACAACGTTTTCTGTTGTATGCATGATGGAGCCTTTTCGTACCGGAGCTGCCCCTTTTTGGTTTATGCTTGGAGCATCGTGTATTGGCGTTATGACTCATGGCGTAAGCATTCTTGCCAGTGGTGTCTGCTCTCCCTTGACTGTCGGTTCGGGCTGGGTTGGTGTTGGTCGGTTCGGGTGTTTCGGTTGGGGTTGCTTTTCGAGGGCAGGGAGAGCAACAGGGCTTGTACATTTAGTTCTTTGCAGTTTTCGCCGGGCCGCGGCAGGGTTTTTTGTCCACCGGGTGTTTGCCCTGCCTGTACAGGCGTTACCCCCCCCCCCCCCACAGCAACCTCGGACTCAGGTTCGGCATGCTGATCATACCGTTCCATGCTGGTAGTTATACTGCACTTTCTGTTAGACTTGAGGCTCCTTATCCTGCGAGGAGCTCCTGGCAGTGGAGGAGGCTCCCTTCCGTAGTTCCGGCCTGAGGGATGTGGGCGCCTTTGTGAATCAGCACGGGGGAAGGAAGATGTGGAAACCCAACTGCCGCAGATGGATAGAACTTTGAAAATTAAGGTTTTTGCCGCCTTGACCACACCTTTGAGAGAACCTTTTGGCAAACTCTCACCTTTGCTTCACCACGCAAGACCTGGTAATATGAATGACTTGTTTTAACCACTAGGCACTTGGCGTTCTGCGTGGAGCCGTGGCTTCCTCAGGAACGTGGGGCTGCATGTGCTCTGCGGTAGCCTCCATTGCTGGCAACCTCGAGAATGGTCCTCTGCGTTGGGGGAAGCTGCGCCCCTGCTTCGCGGTTTTCATTTTCGAGGATTCCCAGGGGGCAAGTGGGCTTGGCCCAAGTTCCGAGACACATGGAACTACAATCACAAGGTGTTTTCCATGGGAGACATTGCTCGTGAGAAGGGCTACTCGTATATATTGTCAATGGACGATGACGTTCTCCTGCCAGCATCAACGATGGCGTTCCTAGCAAATGTTGGCACATCTAGTCGAAAACAAGGTTGCGGTGCTGTGGCCCCACTCTTCCAGACTCTTGCTGCATCTGTTGACTTTGTTGTTATGTATTGTGTTCATAGCCAGTGAGTGCCCTCCCAAGCCAAACCTTGATCCAAACCCAACGCCCGGTCTCAGCCCTGCACATGAAGGAATGGTGTGCCTTCAGTCGAACTCTGGGCTGACGAGTTTCTCACGTCTTCAGAGAAGCATCGACTCTTCGAATGTTTCAGGGGAAGTCGCATGGCTTTGATTTGCAGGATTTCCCGAAATCCATACTGTACCTGTTGTTTGCACAAGATTCGCCTCGTGAATGGCTTGCTACGGTAGTATTTGTTCAGCTCATTTTGGTTTTCGGTGCTGCCTTTCATCCAGCTTTTTTCCGGCCACAAGAGCGAACTCGATCATTTCCAGTTGCAGAATCTTGAGGATGTGCACCGTAAGTCTCAAGGTCAGGTCCGCAGCCCGTGCAACAGAAGGAACGAGGCTGTCGAGGCCATTCTACCGAAAGTCTGGGCTGCTCGAGAGATGTTTGGAATCATTGCTTGCTGTTTGTGCATTTTGCAGGGTATTTCAGCGAGACAGAGGCTGTGTTTCGACATGGGAATTTGCTTGTCAAGCATACACGGTATTCTTCTGCCTCTGTCACTGTGTGCGCAAGGAAGTCAGGAAGAGAACAGATGGGTGTGTTCTGATATGTTCTGATACTCTGATGGCTCGACGGCGACACGAGGTCTTTCTACCATAGTTGGATTTCATTTCTACGAACATTTGCGAAGTTGAGACCAACTCAGGATGGCCCTGCCTATTACCGGCTCATGGCGGCATATGCCAAGGGCAAGCAATATGGCCCGATAAATGGCCGTTTAGCTGGACACCCTGTGCCTCGGGTGGTGTCACGTATGTCAGTTCTGAATTTCTCGATTCGTGGCTTAGGCCAGACATGATAAAAATTTGCGGTTTTACTTTTCAAGGGGCAGTCTTTGAGGTGCGCTACAATAACACGTGTGGCGCGCTAGCCCTTGGGCTTGCTTTAGACCATGCTTCGAGGGAGTGGCTGCGGTGGCGTGATGATCACTCATTGATTCACGGTGAAGATGCTTGGGCCGAAAGACGCTACTCTTTTCTCAATGGAACATGTTACTGTAAAACTGTGCAGTAGCATGACAGGGTTTAATTGCCTCACAGTGAACCTGACAGAGAAACAACAGTAAGCGGTGGTAGACAAGAAACCAGGATCAGTCAGCCATCAGTACTCAGCCGCAGACTTTCTTCCGCGCAAGGGCTGATGGAAACAAAAATCTAGCTTCTGATAATGTCACTCCAGGACTTGACGAGCTAGAGCCCGTGGTGCCATCAACAGTTACGATTGTCGTAGCGTGCGAAGGTATCCTGCAGGCAATCGAGTAAGCATGATGAACTGCAAGAACTTCCTCCGGTTTGTGTGAACCCTAGGCGCGCACCTTCCAATACTTGTCCAACAATGCCTTCCTCATGCCTGCACCGTTGTACCTGGACGTTTTATCTCGATTGGAAGGCGTTTGGGGCAATGCCTCGGAGCCAAACAGAAACACTAATGAGGAGTGGCTGGTGAGCAAAGTGACGAAACTAAGCGGCCTGCATCTATGCTTTGTGAGCGGATCTTTTGGGATCCACCCAGCTTACAACACTCAAGGCGGTCAGAAAACTTGGGAAGATTGGGCGGTGCGACGCATCCTAGAGACCCTCAGGTCTCACCAGCTGTAGACAGCCAACCCGGGGACGACAACACAACGAGCCCATCAGTGATGATTCTCATGGAGTTGCGCAGCATGGGGATGGAAACTCCGGTCCCACTCCACATGCCGACTGCAGCTCAAACGCTGTTGATGCTGTTGCACGTCGGGAGGCCAGCATGTTGTTTCCATCGATTCCGCTGAAGCAAAACAATGTGTTGCCTTTTGATATGTGACCGGCATACTTGCTGAGACGTTAGCAGACTGTAATGGCCACGGCTGAGCCAGTACCCTGATTGGTGGTGGGGCTGACTCGGCCACTGCAGATTTTTGACGTGATTCTTTTTTGGATTAGAGTTTGGGGCTTAGGCTTGGGGTTTTTGGGTTCTGGGATTCAGGGTTTAGGGCTGTAAGGTTTGATGGTAAGAAATTCAGAGGGAGCTCAGGATCTGAAAGTCTGCCCTCTGCAGGGTTGAAGGTCTAGCATTTGTTGCGGCTTCTGGGATGCTTCAGGGGCTTTACCATTTCCTGAGTGCAGGACTTGGATGGGGCGCGCTACAAGAAGGTCACCGCAGCTTACAAGGTAGCGTGCAGCACCTGTCGTCGCTGCACCCTGCTCCAATGGCAGCTGCTGAATAATGCGCTGCGTAGCGGTTGCAGCATGCTGGGTGTCAAATTTCAGAGGGACACCTAAACTTACAAATTTGCATCAGAAACGGTTTGGGAGCCGTTTGTCTGTCAAAGAGGGGATCCAGTTGCAGACTTATCAGCAGAGATTTTGGAGTTCCCAAAACATCTGGTCGATGTGCACTTTGACTGTTTTGGACTACCAGGAGCCAATGCGTTTCATTGACTAAGCAGGAGGTTGTTCTGAAACCCTGGCTTGTTTTGTTAATAAGCGAGCTCATGCGATAGATTCCTAGGGTCAATTTCTTGGCACAAAGGCGCGGCGAAAAATTGGCAAACGACGTGTGGGAGTATTCTATTTGGTAGTTGACCAGGGGCCTGCAGGAAATAGTTTCTTTCTGAAGTTCCCTGATTGCTATGCATGATTCCTACAAGGTCCTGAGAATTTCCGCAAGAAGATCTCTAGATCAGTCACCATTGGGAGGGTCCACATAAGTCATGGCAACAATCGTGTTCGCGCTGGAGATGGCGTTCAAAAAAGTTCTGGCTTGCATGGGAGCATGATGTTGGCAAGGGCAATGTACATAGGATGTGTTCTTCATTTCGCTGCGAAAGGTGAAGGTGAGGAACAAATTGCGCGGGAGGTTCGCAGAAGCGCCGCGATAGAGCGAGGTGACACAGCAAGGCATCGCAACATCCTTTAGAACTTTAGAACACCATCTTCAAGAATGGTGCCATCATGGCCTGCCTCTTAATTGATCGTTTCCTACTAGTAAGCGATGCACTCAACGAGTGCGCTTATGTCGAACAGAAAAGCCAAAAACAACCACATTCTGAATAGTAATGCTGTTGTGTGCGAGAAGTACCACGACTGCTTCACCAAAGGCACGACATTGATGGCCTTTTGGCAAGGTATATTGGAACAACCCCCTGCAGACATACGTAGGCGAAGTATGCTATGGCTTACCTAGCGGGCTTTCGACTGATAAAAATGTAGGTTGGAAACCGAAAGCCCTGGCTGCATGCAGTTGTTGCCCCGTAACTTGTTTTTCCCATGCGCCAGTGCGAGACCCGGGTTTGTGTCCGCATGAAGATGAAGAATCCATAATCCACCTGTACGACACCCGTGCGAGGCCCGTACAAGCAAGTTGCCTGTGCAAAGACCGTAATTGACCACTAAGCATCAGTACTTTGAAGATGGTTTTGCGCACATCAAAACAACTTGCTTTTGCTCATCACGACGTTTTTTTCGCCCGGAAGTTACAATTGCCACAGTTGGTTGTGTAGGTAGGGTACGAGTCAACATCACCTGAAGCAGACATCTAAACAGCATGCAACGCCAATGGCAGCTCTGGATTCCATGTTGAGCGGCATCCTAAGCGTTCCTAAGCGCACTGCGCTCGACTCACTTGAGGAAATCAGACATAGGATCAGTCCGTGCACAAGATTCAAGCTCACATCAGCATATTTCAATGAGGCTCGAGCCCGGACTTCCCTATATCTCGACATGGAAGATTCGTCTACGTACCTAGGTTGTCTGCATGAGATGGCAGGCCATCTGCGACATGCTCGAGAACTGAGCCAAAGATTGCTCCCAAAGAAAAAAGCAAGTTTTGAGGTGCATCCGCGCACAGACTTGTCTAGCTTCACAAGCGGGGTCAACCGCAAATCGGGGTATACATGAGGCATTTTGGTGGGCTCAAGAATCAGGCCTTCAGCGATTGTCACCGGAAAGTTGCAACCTCCAGGGCACGGAAGCATACTGTGAGATGCCATCCCTTCCATTGACGCAATATATCCGACTGGTTTGGCTAGATCTATTTTTGGCGGCAAGGCCCCCATGGACAGCCAAGAGACCTGGTCAATTTGTCTGTCTCACTGTCTGTCTGCCTCTCTGTCTGTCTGTCTGGTTTCTGTCTGTCTTCTCTGTCTCTCTGTCTCTCTGTCTGTCTTTGTCTGTCCTTCTGCTTTTTTTCTCTGCCTGTCTTTGTCTGTCTCTCTCTGCTTGTCTGGTTTGCCTCTGGCTGCTTAGCTGTCGGTCTATTTCCAGCAAATGTTTCAGTAGTGTGAAATCTTTATCTTGTGTATCACAGTAAGCTGTGATGGCGTTTCCGTCCGTCAGTGAGTCTCCGTCTCTGTGTCTTTCTACCTCTCTCTCCGTGCATCAGTCTTTGTAAGTCTCTGTCTGCTCTTGGCCGTCACAGCATTCTACCTTGACATGTTTTGATGATTCAGCTGTGTTACAACAGCATGGAGGTTTTCTTGCAGCTATGCTTGTGGCTCGTCCTGGACAGCGGGACGAACACTAGGATGGTTCATTCAATTTCAGATGAAGAGTCAACAGTTGGAATGTGGGCACTTTTACGTAAACAGTGTGTAACCCCTTCTTCTAATTAATGTTCAAGACCCCCACCTCCTAATGTAGTAAACATATATTCCCATTGCGTATACTTTCTTTTATGTTGGGAATGGTAGTATTGGGCAGGTGATATTCTCAAGCTAGCCTGCCACTCTAACCCCCAAACCAAAGTCAGCTCCGGGC